TTTTTTGTGATAATAAGCCTGAATTTCATTAGGTGTGATCAGAATATTATTAGAAGTGGAAATCAGTATAAAAACACATGAAAATTGTCAACAGTTTACTTTGTTGATCTCTTCATATCAACTACATTCAATAAACATATTTGTAATTTTTAAATGTAATTCTGGATTTCACTGTCTAATTACATGTTTGTTTTTTTAAGGTACTTACTGATGAATAGTGGTTGAAAATTATTGCACACATTTTTATTAAACCGGAGAATTGATTTTACGCTTGTAACTGAGACTGACATGTTTCTAAACTTGTTAATTTATCATCTGAAACAATTACGAACTGGAAAATAGAGGTTTAGTTATCAGTGAATAGAATATTTGAAGGGGAAAATCGATCTACAAACTGAGTTATAATCGGGATTAGACATTTAAAATAAAAAAATAAGCTGCGGCTTGTAAACTGACCACTTGTCACTGCTGAGGAGTCCCATACCAGGACGAAACGGCCGTTCAGTACTTCCAGGTTCCTAATGGTGGTCTAACATTGATCGATTCATGGTTTCAAAAATGTGTAACTTAACAATCTTCACAACCCCGTAATGCAAATTACCTGTGCTCACTAGTGACTAGATCCGTGAGGAGTCTTCTCCGAGTTCTAGTGGGAAGACGTGACCAGTGAAGTTCAACATGTTCGGGTGTAGGCAGTGTATGAGGTTGCGCAACTCCGTGAATTTGATCAAGTTAGACATTAACACCGTTAGATACCAGCGCAGTGGTTTGACGGTTGGGGCGTTCGCGCACAATGCCTAAGGTCCTGGGTTCAAATCCTGAGGGGTGCAGGAGTCGTGGATGCGCACTGCTGAAGAGTCCCATACCAGGACGAAACGGCCATCGTCCAGTGCTTCCAGGTTTCTAATGGTGGTCTAACATTGATCGATTCATGCTTTCGAAAATGTGTAACTATTATTCCTATTCGATACTTACTAGTCTGTTCTTCTTCTTGAGTAGTGAAACTCAGTAGATAAACAATCAAACGCTTGTTTCATAACTTTTATTTTGTCTAAATTATATACCCTGTTATTTCTGTACACAATCATTTCAGATGGAAAATATTCAAACATTTTTGAATGCAGCTGTTGCATATGGTGTACCTAGAGCTAGTTTATTTCAAACAGTGGATTTGTATGAATTACGCAATATGCCACAAGTTTTAAATACATTGCTACAACTTGGAACAGAGGTTAGTTTGAGATGATGGAGAAAATACTGTAGCTCAGGTGGATAATTGTGGTGGTGTTTCGCTCTCTGAGCTGGATATTTTGGTTGTAAAGCTTTCATTGTTCTTCTACTGAACAACATCGTCAGCACAAACTTCAGATCAGGGAGGACAAAGAACACCAGGGAATTTTTATAAGCTTGGCACTCAGGTCAATCAGCAATCAACAAACACACCGACATTGACCCAATTTATCAACTAATCAAGAAAATCATAGGTGACATATGATCAAGAAACAGATGAAAAGGAGGATACAATCAAAACGAAGGTGCAAACAACAACAGGTTTTAGGTCAACAGCAATCAATCAAGACCGAGGTCAAACATGGAGAAATTCGAATACTTTACTTCTATCTGAAGTTTGTGATGATGATGTTGTTCACTAGAAGAACAATGAAAGCTTCACAACCAAAACATCCCCGGCTCAGAGAACCAAACACCACTACCGAGGTTAGTTTATTCAATAATTTCATGTTTTCCAATTTGAATTTATTTATTGATTGTAATTTTGATTAAAAATGTTAGAAATGCAACTGAAAAACTATATACTCGGATGTATTACATTCTGAAGTTTCTAAACTGGAAAGAAATGAGAACATTTACTCTATTATATAATCTAAAGCTACTTAATCAACTAACTATACAAACAAATTAAAAGACATCAGTTATTTGGTGAACTGAGTAGGGACTTTTGCGTAAATTAATAGGTATAGTTTGACAAAAGTTGGGCACCCGAATATATAAAATATATTATTTGTGGAAATTGTGTGTTGAACTAATCTCAGTGATTGAAATTTTAGATAATTCGAACTTTTCATTAACCTGTATGGTTTGGTCAAAATATGCAGTTTGTACTAAACTATCTTTTAGGCTTGACTACTCTTCCCTGCTTTTTCAAAGTTGGTTTTATACAAAATATTATGTATGTAGGGGAGTTAGATTTTTGCATTTTTCGTGTCTTAAATGTGATATTCTGATGTATTAGTAACATTCATGTAAATGACAAATTAACTAATTTAGTTCTGCAGTTACATAATCTCTTTTGAAATGATACCATTTGATACCATCTTCTCCAAAATTTTTTTATACAGAGGAGACCAAATAAACCAGCTTTTGAAGAACTGTTTTCATCATAAGGCGTCAAAATGTTTTGAAGATTTAAGCTACTTAATTGTTTATAAGTAGATAAACGACAAAAACAAAATATTTCGGGGAACAATTATGTTTTTGAAAAATTCCTGTCATATTGAAGACTATTCTTTTCACTAAATTAGCTTCGGGTTTAACAATTACATATCCAAATTAACAATCAAAAAAGAGGTGGCCAGGTTCAGGATAGTTAATATGGTTACTAACCTCTTTGCTACAGTGTGATTAGGAGGATTGTGTGCGTCCAGAATTATCCTTTGTCTGATATCTAGTTCTTGTACCTTCAATAATGCGTATAGCCTTGGTAAATGAGTACCCATCGGCTTAATTGTTTCAATTAGGTTTCAGAAAAATTAGGTACTGACCTCTAAATTTTTTTAAAGATCTAGTTAGTTCATTATCTATCCAAGTATTGATGCCTTTTTGGTGATGACTATTTTGGAATTTCAGATGATCAGTCAAGACTATATTCGTCTTGTCTACATGATATTTTCTGTGAAGCAGGACAGTTCCTGCCCCTTTATACGGTTACGTATTAATCAGATTTTGGTCACAAATAAGTTCACTGATAGCCTCCCTGCGTTTCTTACGCAATCATTATATCTACTGTTCTTAGACCAATAGCAGCAATCAGCCAAATTCGATTTGAAACGTTCAAGTTCTTATCTGATATCTGACGATTGAAGCTATGTATGATGAAGTAGTATTAAGGAGAGCATATGAGACGAGAGTAAAACGCTGTTAAATATTATAATTTTTACACAGTTCTTAATGATTAATGCTTAATGCTTAATAATGGTTACGGAAAATGTTGTTTTTCTTCAAACAGTGTCAAAGAAACAACTTCAACGGACCAGTATGTGGTCCAAAGCCAACTTATGAAAATAAACGTGAGTTCACGGAAGAACAGCTTAGAGCATCGGAAGGTATAATTGGTTTACAAGCTGGAACTAATAAATGTGCCAGTCAAGCTGGAATGAGTCATGGTGGACCACGACATATTACAGATATTAAAGTAGATGCTGCTTCAAAAGAAAGTCAAGGTGTTATTGGTCTTCAGATGGGTTCGAACAAAGGTGCTAGTCAAGCTGGCATGAGTCATGGTGGACCACGACATATTACAGATATTAAAGTGGATGCTGCTTCAAAAGAAAGTCAAAGTGTTATTGGTCTTCAAATGGGTTCAAACAAAGGTGCCAGTCAGGCTGGAATGAGTCATGGTGGACCAAGACACATCACAGACATTAAGGTAGATGCAGCATCTAAAGAAGGTCAAAGTGTTATTGGTCTTCAAATGGGTTCGAACAAAGGTGCCAGCCAGGCTGGAATGAGTCATGGTGGTCAAAGACATATAGCAGATATTAAAGTTGGTGATATGTCAAAAGAAGGTCAAGGTGTGATTAGCTTACAAATGGGTGCAGGTAAAGATCAAGTCGCTTCACAATCTGGTATGAGCTTTGGAGCACAACGTCATATTGTTGACTCACATTAAGCGAGTACCCACTATTGGTCTAATTTTTTAATTTATCTTATGAAGCTTATCGCTTATTTATGAATGTGCATCATCAAAATTATCATTCCCAAATTTGCCTTTCTGCTGTTATCATTATGCTTGTCATTGAGTATTTTTCATATGACCACTAAAAAAATTGATCATCTTTGCGCTTCACAGGATATTGATGATAATAAAGAGGATGAATTTGTTCAGAGAAAAATTTATCAAATCTTATTATGAGCTAATCTTCAATTCATTTCGGGGGTTTTGTTTTTTCCGTCAGATATAAATCACATTTTCAACCAATCATATTCAGAGAAGAACTATCAACCAATCAGTGGAACTATTTGTTAAATTTATATGAGACAAAAGTCAAAATGATATTTAACATTGTCAAACATATTCACATTAAAATGAAACAATGAAAAATTGTTTAATTTTCTACTTTTAAAAAAATATTCTTGATTCAAATATTGACAAGAAACAAAGTTTTCATTTGCTAATCAATTTTTCCAAGTCTATTTATTTCAATTGTAGTATTTTAGTCCTTTTGTCTTTTTCAGAAAATTATGGTTCTGATTGATAAAAATTTTAATCAAAAATAACTTTTTTTAAAATTGTTTTGCATGTATCTCACTTCTATCAATGCTGCTGTTCTGTTATTACTATCAATAAAAAGAATTTTGTAATGATTAGTGTTTTATTTTCGGGCAGAGTTTTGGAGGTTTTGTGGTTTTGCGCATTTGAAATCATCAATCAATGATTGTTAGACCAACATTAAAAACCTGGAAGCACTGACAGACGGCCGTTTCGTCCTGGTATGAGATTCATCAGCAGTGCGCATCCACAACTCCTGCACCTCGCAGGATTCGAACCTGGGTCCTTCGGTACTGTGCTCGAACACCTAACCATCGGACCACTGGGCACCATTCTAGCTTCAAAATGAGCTTGAATAGAATTCATTCAGTTTTATCGCACAGTTTAATGTACAATAATTATTCAAGGTATTGATATTCTTTTAGGTCTGATAGCAGGATTGTATCCTATTGCCAGTACTGTTTTGCATTTTCATTTGAGGTCATAAGTGATAATCAACAGAGAGATAGAATACTTGCGTTACTACTGCAATTGTTGTATAGCAGATTTGCATTACCGGGTAGTGAAGATTGTTAAGTTACACATTCTTGAAACCATGAATCGATCAATGTTAGACCACCATTAGAACCCTGGAAGCACTAGACAGCCGTTTTGTCCTGGTATTGAACTCCTCAGCAGTGAGCATCTAAGACTTCTGCACCCCGCAGGATCCGAACCCAGGACCTTCAGTATTGTAGGCGAACGCCTAACAATCTTCACAATCCCGTAATGCAAATTAACTGTGCTCAATAGTGACTAGCTTCGTGAGGAATCTTCTCCGAGTTCTAGTAGGAAGACGTGACTAGTGAAGTTCAGCCTGTTCGGGTGTAGACAGTAACTATCGAAGACTGTGTATCAGGTTGCGCAACCCCGTGAATTGATTAAGTTAGACATTAACACCGTTGGATACCGGCTCAGTGGTCTAACGGTTAGGGCGTTCGCGCACAATACCGAAGGTCGTGCGTTCGAATGCTGCGGTGTGCAGGAGTCGTGAATGCGCACTGCTGAGGAGTCCCATACCAGGACGAAACGGCCGTTCAGTGCTTCGGGGTTTCTAATGGTGGTCTAACACTGATCGATTCATGGTTTCAAAAATGTTTAGCAGATTGTCATATTGGATACAAAATTACGTTATTGGTGTGTTTTATCACCGAGATTAATGAAGAGCAATCAACTTATATGGGATTGAAATTGTCACATTGATCGTTTGGTAGTAACTATTCTTAAATTATCTGTTGCCAGATTGATTTCAATAAATGGCATTATGGCAAATAGTCTCCGTGACTAACATTGTTGATTATCTTTGATAAGCAGTACATTTTGAATTTAGGATGAACACTAAGGTATATTAGATACTGATTACCACAAAGACCATGACACTATGACACAGGTTGTTCATAAGTGACCACTTAACATGTGAACAAACTAATCTCATATACACTTGGCACCGAGCAAAGTTTACTGAAAGTTCGAAACATTTAAAATAATATTGACATTAAGCTTAGAATTATAGGATTTACGCAGTGCTAAAAACCAAGAAAGCATACTGCTGGTTGTAATATGAGGAGCCAATATATATATATATATATATATATATATATATATATATATATATATATATATATATATATGACGAAATCTCAGCTGGGATACAGAAAGCTCGATTGGCTTTTGCCAACCTGCGTCATTATTGGCGCAGGCGAGATATCCGCTCGTTAACCAAAGGACGAGTGTACTGCGTAGCGGTTCTCTCTGTCCTACAATACGGATGCGAAACATGGCCGTTAAGAGTAAAAGACATTCGTAGGTTACTTGTCTTCGATCATAGGTGTACCCGAAGCATTGCTCGTGTATCCTGGGACGACCGAGTAAGCAATGCTATCGTTAGGAAACGAGTACTAGGTAAGGATGTCAAATCAATAGATGAACTAGTGAAACTTCATCAGTTGAGGTGGTTAGGACACGTTTCACGTATGCCGAAACACCGACTGTCTCGACGAGTTATGTTTTGTGGTGTAGGAGTAGGTTAGAAGAAATCCAGAGGTGGCCAAACCAAAACATGGCAGAAATCAATGAAGTCACTGACAAGTGGACTGAATCATGTTGGTAGATATGGACTGCCAGGTTGAAGTCCGCGAGACGACAGTCACCAATGGTTAGAGACCTTGAACGACATGGCTCAGAATCGTTCGCAATGGCGCAGGTTCATCCGCTCTTTGTGTGCTTTTTAATTCTAAGCTTTTGCATTCCTCATAATCTCTATCTTTTTCCTTTTAAATTTATCTTAATGAATTATACTTCTCGAATCATATCTTCGCTCCCTAATCTTCTCCATTACTGCTAATAATTCTACTGTCGTTATCACACTTGGATTTGAACTGACAGTTACGTCTCTGTTCTGATGTGGTATTGCAACCTGAACTGATGTACTTATGTACGAAATTCTGCGTTGTATCTGTCTGTCTGTCTGTCTTTATATATATATATATATATATATATATATATATATATATATATATATATATATATATCATTCTACCACAGATTTAATGGACGTTACTGTTTAGCTTGACATCAACGTTAAACCACCATCAGAAACATGGAGGTACTGGACGACAGTTTCGTTCTGTTATGCGACTCATCAGTAGTGCGCATTCATGGCTCCGGTTACTAGCACTGGTCTAACGTAGATCGCGATTCATGATTTCAAAACCCTATAAAATGCAAGTTATTGTGTATGTTAAATATCCAAGACTGATTAACTAGTGAATAAATAATTATGTTTACGAAGTTTCGTTCCCAACTCTATTAGATACTAAGTTTATACCGAAAATGAATGAATATTCAGATTATGATCAACTATTGAACATTGAATGTTGATTATTGAAAGTAAAAGAAAAAATATTATTTCCTCTATTCCGTCACTATTTCAGTAAATCAGTAAATACGAAATAAAATTTTATTAATTATAGAATTTTAAAATGAAATTCTACTTAAAAGACACTTTTGTTTGATTTGTTTATCTTGTCCAACCAACTAGTTTTATCCACGAAATTAACAAAATAAAATACTCGTGATTTTATTCGTATGCTATATGATTAAAATTTTTAACAAATCTGTTAGGATATTCATCCAATATCGTAAGAGAATTATTTGTAAGTCTAATTCGATTGGTTGATTCCTACCGGTCAATATTATGGTTGTCCTAGCTATCACTGTTAAGTACTTTAATGTTGTTTCCCATTGGTTGTCCTGACTATCAGTGTCACTTCAAATGGTACTTCCTATAGGTCGTCTTAACTGTCACTGCCACAGAATTCGATGCTGTTTCCTATTCGACCGAAATGTATAAATATGCATTATCTGCAACGTTTTATGACCAGGTCCAGGACCAGGACCCGGTCCCGGATCCCTAATCCGGGATCCTGATTCTCTTCTGGATTCGGATCTCGTACTTTCTGGATGCTTGTAGAATACAGGTTCTACTTCATATCAAGTCTTGTCTTCTTTCACTCAATATGGGGGTTGGGATAATCGGATTTGAGTAGCATGTCATGTCGCCCGGTTCCTCGATCCTCGCTCTCGCGTTTCCGACTAGGTAAACTCGCAATAGTTCAAGTATATCAATTTGTTGTGTTTACGTGCAGGGGTAACAATCTTTTAATAAACGTTTATTGACAAAGTTCCACAGTGAAAACATTTCTAATGTTTTCATCTTTATTATGAATAATGCAAAATGTCAGCTGAAATTTAATTGGGAAAATGTAGACCCATTATTTGAATTGAACGTTTTTGACGGGTTTTTTTTGTGTGAATTAATCAACTAGAATGTTGATGATGTTATCTACCTTCATTTGTCTGAAACATTGTTATTCAGTTGTTAAAATTACAACAACAAATTTCTGGATTATTGTATGATATTATTTTACTGATTTCTAAAATCTGATTATTGCATATGAATATTGTAAGTTGAAAAGACGATTAGTGAACATTTCAGTAGTAAAACAAAAATCTCATCCTTGAGAATAGAATTACAACAAGATTGAATATAGATAGGTAAGGAATAGAGTTATACGGATCAATAACACCTATGGTACTTGAGACGACTCAAAAAAATAATTATGAATACTAAAACTTTATATTGTGGGTCAACCAACATGTCTGCAGTACATGCACTCAAGCTGCTTTTTACGCAACACAAATGATCTGATGACTGCTTATGTACATGACCACATACTCAACAAAGCGCAAGTACTGAGGTGCACTTGGTTCTTCCCTCCACGATGGATATGCAGAAATCATGTGCGATCAAGTGCGAATAAGCTGAACGCCAGTTGACACGCTACACCGAGGCAGAGGGTATTTGGGGAACCACATATAGTCGGACGTTGCAAAGTCCGGGATTTGTACGGCCGCTTCCACCAAGAGATCTAAGACCACATCAAGGAAGCTGTAGCTACGCCCTTTTAAAGATACTTGCTACTAACAAACCGCCGGCTCCACTAGGTGTTAACAATCTACCAATTCTTTTAATTTTCTAACGACATTTGGCCGCAGTGCTGTAAACAACACCACGTTGCCTTGTAGGACCACGTAGACGTAGTCTCCATGTATTCGTCAGTTTGATGACGAGGCACTTGGCTTCCTTAAGAGAGTCATAGTTACTCCCTGTGACCGACAGTAACCCATGAGGGGATTCACCCCGAGTTACATTACTCAGCATAAAAAATTTGATGAAATCTGCCAGCTGAGAATAATTTTCTATATTACTGAAATGCGTTTCCGAGGTACGGCTTATTTTGTCTCGAATACATGTTAAAAATTATGAGATAATTTAATATTTTGGTTTTCAGGAACAGCGTTCTTTCATCATTACGATACTTCAAGTAAATTTAAGATCAATGCAGAATGTTGGATAAATTTCAGATATGTAGTTTGCATCATAACTGGCCAACCATTGAAAACACGGAATAATTTAGTAAGTAATAAGTCAGGTGGATGTCCAAAAAGCACGCACACGAACAGTGGCCCGCGTTCGAGCACTTATGAATCAACA